AGCGCAGTGTCGAAAGTTTGGTGAGTGTGTGTTTGTTTTTTAAGTCTGTAGTTTCTTGTCAGAGATGTGATGACTTACATATGCTAATATATGGAATCTACAATTTTAACGCTGATTTTAAATTAGAAGTCATGAAAGAAGAAGACAAAAATACTCTCAGTGGTTTGCCAAAACTTTCCGAAAGATAATATTCAAAGTCTTATATCTGTGTTCTGAGTAGACTTGAACACATTACCTTTCTTTATTAGCACTTTTTGATATTAATTATAATTGCATTATATTGATAAATATATTATACATTCATGAATATTGATTTAAAATATTTTTTTTCTAGAATGCAGAAGAGAGGGAACAACAAGAACGAGTAGATGCTTTGTCTAGTATTTTGGGTGGCGAGGTATCTATCGATTTGCATTTACAATTTCTGATTCGCAGCAATCACACCGATATGTTGATCCTGAAAAACACCAAGGATGCCATACGAGTTTCAATTTGCCACACTGCCACTGTCATTGCGAACGCTTTCATGCATTCTGGGACAACTAGTGATCAATTTTTGAGGTATGCATCTATTTTTAGGACTTTTTAAGGCGTTTTTAATTTTTGATATTTAAAATGTTTTAGTTGTACTTTTATTTTTTAAATAGGAATGTAATACATAAAATATTTAATCTTACTGTTTTCAAATTTTTAGAAATTTTATTTGTTATGATTTATTATTTTAAAAAATATTAAAACGAAACATAAAAAATATGAAGTGAATTCTTGCAGAATTTTTAATTTTTTGAAATTTCTATTTGTTATCTTTTAGGGATAATTTGGAATGGTTGGCTCGTGCTACTAATTGGGCAAAGTTGACTGCGACGGCTTCTTTAGGAGTTATTCATCGAGGTCATGAACAAGAAGCTTTAGCTTTGATGCAGTCATATTTGCCGAGAGATTCTGGTGCCGCTGGTGCCGGATATTCCGAAGGTGGTGGTTTATATGCTTTGGGACTTATACACGCTAATCACGGAGCTGCTATCACAGATTACCTTCTAGGCCAATTAAAAGATGCTCAAAATGAGGTATATCGCATTTAATACTTATTTTGGTACATTTTCTTACGTTAAATTTCCAAATTTTTGTTTATATATATGTATATATAAAATTGATTATTTTTTATTAAATATTTATCAAATTATATATAATAATGTGAATAGATCTTTTATTAACTATGCGTAATAATTAAATTTTATATGATTTATCCTTTAAAACTTGTTCCAGATGGTTCGTCATGGTGGTTGTCTCGGCCTTGGATTGGCCGCAATGGGCTCTCATAGACAAGACGTGTATGAGCAATTAAAATTTAATCTATATCAAGATGACGCCGTAACCGGTGAAGCAGCTGGAATTGCTATGGGAATGGTTATGTTGGGGTCCAAATCAACGCAGGCGATCGAAGATATGGTTGCGGTAAGTTTAGTGCATTTTTTTTCTAGCGTTTTTTATCCCTCGCGTTATTTTTTTATATTTAGATAATGTTTTTGTAGTAATATTTAATAATATGTTATTACTAACAATAAGTATTAATATAAAGACCTACTTTTTATATTATTTTAAATGCTTATTTTAAAATCTGCTATTTATGAATGAAGAGAGAAAAAGATTTTAATAATAAAAACAAAATCACGTCAAAATGTTATTTAAAAAACTCAACATCATGAAAAAAAGAGTGTAAAAAAATGAAGGTATTTGGGAAAAATAGATTTTCTGGCATTTATTTTATATTTTATTACATTGAAAGGACACCAAAATATTGTTTATTAATGCGAGCTATTGAAATAATGAAAGACATAATTTTGAGTGAGTAAACCTGTAAAATAAACAGATTTAGTGTAAGTAAAGATTTACAATAAAAACAATTTTAATAAAATAAGAAAAAGAAATATGTACAAATTTAAAGTAAGTGCAAAATAATCAATCGTTATCCAAGTGCAAACGGAGGTTCACTAGCAGTCTGCAGAGTGTACATTCCATTTGCGCTGAAAATGACAAATGATAAAAAAAATTAACATGTCGATTATATGAAAGAAAACATGAAAGTTTCCGATATTTCTTGATTGATTAAAAGAAATAGACATGAAATATTAGGAAAAATGATTTTGAAAAGAGATAAATATCCACATTGGAAGAAAACAAAATAACACTGTACTTACTTTGGATCGATGGATGGTCCTCCCATAAACACATTTCCGGCGCGAAAACCTGTGGGATTTGTGATAGATTCAATGTAATACATCTCAGACCTTGAATGCGCACATCCCATCGCCTCGACATCGCCTGCAAATTGTGGATTAATCAGTCGTTTAACTAATGAATCAATAAGTTAACTGATATTGGCAAGACTTTATTTACCGATCCCTCTGATCGGACCGCATCCTGGTTGCTCTTCGCCGCCATTGGGATAAAAATCAGAAGTACCGATTGCTGATTTTATGCCTACAAATTTCGTGCAGGTGTGTATCACTTGTACTAGAATCGCGTCCGACTTGTCCACTCTTTCTCCTGGTCCGTTGAATTCGAATAAAGGTGCTGCAGGATCTAAAGCTGTAAATCAGAAATTTATTTCAATTTAGAATCAAGATAACTTAAATAAAATTGAAAACTTGTCGCTGACTTACCGATTACCTCGGCGATCTTGCCAGTTGCGAAACGAGCGCTGAGACCCGCGACATGAGCTCCTAAAGAGTGTCCGATTATTACAGTTTTGTTAGGATCAAGCTTTGCATTATTCTCCAGGAAGTTTATCAAAAAGGCTACGCGTTGTGACACGAGTGGCGCACTTCTTGCGGATATGAGGTACAAATGATTGGCTGCGTCCCTCCAGTCGATCAGGATGATATTATAATCGCCAACATTAAGAAAAGCTAAGGATATTGACATGATAGCAATAATAGAATGGAGGTAATTATCAAGATTCGAGACAATAAAATAATTCATACTTACATAAAAAGATCAAATATTAAATTAAGTTTAAGAACGTACAAAAAGGATATTTCAAAGAGTTCGGAAATTGGAAATAAAAGCAGAGAAATAAGAATATTTTGGGAAATTCCAGGAAAAAACATCAAAGAACATTAAAGTCGATAGTTAAAAATGTTAAAAATTGAAGGGGGAGAGGGGGGGGGAGAGAGAGAGAATTATTAATACAAATAAATATATCATTCGATCAAAGTGGATCTTGGTGTTTAATAATATTTTTTGTGTTTTTTGAATTTTACAATCTCGTAAATTGCACCGATTATATATGTATATTTGTCGTTCTTTGAACACAATCCTATAGACTGAAGCTGAAGTATGTGAACTTGGATCTTTCTTATTTCGTGTGCGGATAATTTACATTAAAAAAAAATTTGTACTGTTATTAATATTATATACCAAGACCCCGCTTTGACCGAATAAGGCGTTTATTTGTGTGTCGAATATTTCTCAATCGATTTTCACTTAATATTATCGAAAATTAGATTAAGGATCCAAAAAAGAAAGAATCCAAAAGTAATTAAGATTAATAATGATTCTATACCGTCTCGAATCTGGGTGCAACCTCCATCGCAATTTCCGTGCCATCCATGAGTGACGAATCGAGTGGGATGATTAGGATTCCAAAAACTCTTCTTTATACTATCCATATCGTCGATGATTAGCTGCTGTCCAATTTCCGGGTTGTTTCTAGAGAAGAAAATATTCATTTAGAAGCGATATTTTTTTATAATTACGGTGTTGCGCTAATATTTCAATACATACTTACCGAGTGTACAAATAGAAGGTGGTCTTTTGCACGGATTTATGGATCTCTTTGAGATGTACTTGTGTAATTTTAGATTCGTTTATATCGATCAGATTTGGTATTCCATGATCGTCGATGACAATTGAATAGTTCAAATTTGACGCAATGAACGCCAATAAGGAAGGATACACTACAAGTAAAAGATATCCGTTTAAAATATTTCTCTAATTGTAAGAATCGTAAAATAAAATTGAATAGGTTTATGCAGAATTTATGAGAATATTTTTTTCTTTATGGAAATGCAACTTTAAGAAAATCTTTTCACGGATGTAACTGCAAGTCTAAAATTTTAATCTTTTCCACGACTACTTAATTGCGAAATTTTTAATTACGAAGGTAATTAATATTTTACGTACATAATGTTGTTACCAGCGAAGTAACCATCTTGAAAGTAATTTTCACAAGTTATATAAACAAGGATATAAGTGTACATATATTACATTTTCTTTTATAGTTCGTCGATAGATATTTATCTACTCAGTATGATTGATAAGTTATCGTTAATATCCATAGCTATCATAAATTGCAAACGTCAATCACGTTTGAATGGTTTAATTAAAATTTATTAATTTAAAAATTAAAACTAATTTTAAGAACTTTTCAAAAAATAATTAATGACTATAGTCAGATATTCTTTTTTCGGGACAAACAGCGTCGGATATAATGCTAGTAATACAATGTCATCTATCATCGGAGACAAAGAAAAGGTTCCAAAATGTTGGAAACTTCGTTGTGTTACTTTAATAAAATTTAATTATATACGTTTAGCTTATGCTTGGCTTTGATTGGCATTATTGTTTACTGATTTATGCGCCTTTTCCTTTTTAACTTGTATAAACAAAACTTCTATTTTGATAATTTTATTTATACTGATATCTAATGGTAAAGTAAGAGTGTTTTTTTTTTTATTGATAACAGTGACAATATAGTAATCACTGAAGATCAACAAAGTGAGATGCAACTTTAAACTGTATTGAATCATGAAGGAAATGTTGATCATTCCATTAACATTCAAAGCGATTCAGAAAACATTCGTAATTTTTTAACGCATACAGCACAGATCATTCCAGCAATATTACAGCAATATTATACCATGTCAGCAATATATTGTAAGCTCATGTTATATGAGTATGATTTAAAAATATTAAATATCAATAGTGTTTATTGTTCTGTGTTATCCGTATTGCTATCCGAGTGCAAATGGTGATCTGTCGGCAGTCTTCAGAACGTACACTCCACGTGCACTGCAAGTGACACAAACAATGAATGAATTAATTGACGTTTTAGTCAAGTTACACATGTAGACTGGATGATGCTTCGTTAAAAAAAAAAAAAAGAATCTTTATTTTATATTAAAACTCACTTTGGATCGAGGGATGGTCCACCCATGAACACTTTTCCGGCGCGGAAACCCCTAGGATTTAGGATGGACTCGATGTAATAATCAAGAGCTCGCATGTGCGCGCATGTTATTGCCATTAAATTGCCTGCGAATGTGAAGGAATTAATTATTTTTTAAACTAATGAATCAATGTGGGCGATTTTAATTAACTGATACGGATGAACTTTATTTACCGATCCATCTGATCCGACCGCATCCTGGTTGCTCCTCGCCGCCGTTGACATAAAAATCAGACGTGCCGATCGCTGCTTTTATGCCTATATACTTTATGCAGGTGTGTATTACTTGGACTAAAATCGCGTCCGTCTTATCCGCTCTTTTTCCTGGTTCTTTATACTCGAAACAAGGTCCTGCAGGATCTAAAGCTGTAAATGAGAAATTTGTTTCAATTTGGGATCAAGATATAATAGTTAAATAGGGAAATCGAAAGCTTCGTCGTTGGACTTACCAACTACTTCTCTGATCTTGCCAGTCGCAAAACGAGCGCTGAGACTGGCGATATGCCCTCCCAATGAATATCCGATTATTGCGGTTCTATCAGGATCGAGACTTGCATTGTTCTCCAGGAAATCTATCAAAAGGGCTATGTAATGTGACACAATTGGCGTACCTCTCGCGGATTTTGAGTACAAATGATTGGCTGCTGCCCGCCAGTCGATCAGAATGATATTGTAATCGCCAACATTGAGATAGGCTAAGGATATTGACGTGATAGCATTGTTTGTTAGAATGTAAATTAATTGCGGCTCGATACAGTAAAGTAATTTATGCTTAAATAAGGATATTACATAATTAAGTTTGAGAACTGTAAAAAAAATATATTTTAGAACATTGAAAATAAAGGAGTAAAGAATGTTTTTAGAAAGAGGGGAAGGAAGAGTCAAGAAATCAAAGAATATCAAATTTGAGATAAAAGACAAAATATAAAAAATTTATAAGGTCTAGGGAGGTGCAAGAAAGAGAGGGAGGGAGGGGGGAAAAGAGAGGTAAAAATTATATTAAGGATGCAGAAAAGGGTTCAGAAACAATCGGGATTTATAATGATGTTATACCGTCTCGAATGTCAGTGCAAATGGTTGATTCGCAGTCTCCTTTCCATCCATGAATGATCAGTCGAGTAGGATGATCAGGATTCCAAAAACTCTTCTTAATACTATTCAGATCGTCGATGAATAGCTGCCGTCCAATTTTTGGGTTGTGTCTAGAGAGGATGAGTTTAATGTGGAAATAATTAACGATACGATATTGCGTCAGTAACATGTTATTTCAGATGTACTTACCGAGTGTATAAATGGAATGTGGTTTTTTGCGCGTCTTTATAGATTGTATTGAATATCAAATTCAGTATGAATTCAGATTCGTTGATATCGTTTAGTGTTCCACTATCGTTGATATCATTCGTATAGTTAAGATTCGTCGCAATGAACGCCAATAAAGAAGAATATACTGCAAGTAGAAGGCATCTGTCGATTTATTTAAAGAGTTATTTTCTCAAAGGTGAAATTAAATACGTTGCAGATTTTTATGCAATTTAAAAATAATTTTTCTTTCATTATCACAAATCCAAGAATCTTAACATTTGTTTTTCTCGAATATCTAATCGCAAGTCTATGATTTTAATCTTTTTTCTACAAATATTTAATTGCAAAATTCAAAATTCATTAATTCTTTAGGTATATAATGTAATTACGATCGAAGCGATCATCTTCAAAGTAATTTCAATTTTTACATGATGTTAAAGATGTAAGTTAATGCAATATTTATTCAATGGCATAATCAAAAAGCCGTTGATGACCAATAGCTAATATAAATCAGGCGTCAATCAAATTTGAATGGAGATTAATTTAAAAAAAGGTTGTAAATAATAAGTAATGATTATAATCGATATCTTTTTTCTTCGAGAGAAATTGTTTCAAATATAACGCTAGTAGTACAAACAGAACTTTTATTCTGAAGTGTATTTCAAGTGTTTTGAAACCGAACGGCATGATAAAATAAGAGTTTTTCTGTTGATGATATAGTAATGATTGAGGAAGTGTGATGCAACTTCAATGAAAAGACAGAGTTTTTCTGATATGGATACTATGTAACTGTATGAAGAATAATTTTGTTTGACACACGAAGATGCGAGATCGAAAAAGAATATTTTTTTCTCGCGAATGCAACTCGATAAATTACAAATACAGTCCATTATCAAACATCAACATTAGACATTACCATATTAACATTTAAGAAACAATATTTTCTTTATGAATACGCGACTGTAAAATTTGAGAATAATGATCTTTTACGTACGGATTGTAATCGCTGATGGAACCATCTTCTCGAGTAGTCGACACAATCCGTTGAAGAATTCCGTTTTGTGGACGACTTTTTTGTAACTTATCAACGGATATTTCACAATGTGTTCGATAAGATGATGATTAACAAGAATCAATTAATGTGTCATTTAAAAAAAAAAGCTTAATTAATCCCAGACATTTTATGAGTGATATTACAGTGGATGTTAGCATAGAGGATGTCCCAAAATTCTCGAATCAAAATATTACAGCGATAAAGTTCTCGAAAAAATAAGTTATGAAAGAATCTACTATTTATTGTTCCGAGCAGTACTTTTGAGACATAAGGTTAAACAGCAATTATAGATTATAGTTAAACGAGGCCATTTAAAGATTAAAAACCAATTATAGATTACACAGGGTAATTTGTACGTAACGTAGAATTGGTCAGTTGTAAAAACTAAGTTATAAAGTGCCATTTAACGTTCCGAGTAATAGTTTTTAACCTTTATGTTTTACTTAGTTACTACTTAAAAGGACAAATACTTTTATAACTTATTTTTTTTTAGACTTTCTTACTGTGATATATTAATTCGCGAATTTCGGGATATATCCTGTATATTTATTGAAAAGACAGCTTGTAACTTTTAATAATCTTTATTAAAAGACTTGTAATCTGAAATGTAATTTTAAATTGTTTATGTTGAATATTAAAAAAAAATGTTACATGCAGTTTATATTTGCTTTGGTACAAAGTATTACTTGAAGGTTTTATTATGATTTTTTATAATTGAATTCTATTAGACATTTTTAAAGGGAAACTATGTATCGAGTCGTGAACGAAATGTTGATTATTCCATGATAAATCATTCAAGAGGATTCAGAATGTTCGTAAAAAGTTCATTTTAATATCATAGATGTATATACAATTTAAAAATAAATAACAATGTCTATTGTTCTGTTATCCGAGTCCGAACGGTGATTTTTCGGCAGTCTCTAAAACATACTCTCCACATGCGCTGAAAATGACAGAAATAATAAATGAATCAATTAACGTCTCGGCCAACTTGCACGGGCGGATGATGGACGATGCTGTGTTTCCAAAAAGAATGATTGTTCGAATTACGATGATATTGTACTCACTTTGGATCGAGGGATGGTCCACCCATGAACACTTTCCCGGCGCGAAAGCCCACGGGATTCAGGATAGACTCAGCGTAGTACTTGTAAGACCTCGCGTGCGCGCATGTGAGTGCTGTGAATTAATTAGCGCGTTAATTAATGAGTAAATGATGTTGATTTCGGCATTCGATAGCAGGCTTTATTTACCAATTGTACCGCATCCCGGCTGGCTCTTGCCACCGTTCGGATAAAAGTCGGCACTACCAATCGGTTCTTCCAAACCCAGAATACTCGTGTGAATCACTTGCACCCGAGCTGCATCTGATCGATCTACTCTTTCTCCCGGTCCTTTCGAATCGAACAAGGGTTTTGCGGGATCTAAAGCTGCAAATTAAACTCTCTATTTTATCGCGTTTCTCGAATCGAGAGATTTCTTTTTTAGCAGGAATTAGTAGAGAAAGCCAATATTTTAAAAAGCTTCTTTGTTTCGTTTTTACTTATTGCTATTGTTAGTCTCATTTATTTTGTTTTTCACGCAGTTTTTTTCAAGAAAATTAATGTTCCTTTTTTATTTATTTATTTTTTTCAAGTTTTGAAAGATCTTAATTATATTATTTATTTTTAAGCTGTTTTCTTTTTTTTTTTTGATATCACATCAATGATATTTATTGAATAATAAAGATTGGAAATAAGACCGTTAGATACATTACTTTAAATACGAAGCGCCACTACAGTCTGAATGTTAAGATGTTGAACTATTATATATATTCATTTAAATGAGTTAATTTCAGAAATTATAAATTGCGTGCCGATATGATTGTCGGACTTTCAACGCGATCAATCTGAAATATTAATAATCTCCCCCAAATCTCCCAAACTTAATCTTAAAGAACTATTTATTGAACTTACCTACCGCCTCAGCAATTTCGCCATTCGCATTACGAGCGGCGAGACCGACGACATGCCCTCCCAGAGAATGACCTATCACTTTGGTCTTGGAAGGATCCAAACCAGCTTGGCTCTGTAGAAAATCTATCAATTGTGTCACGCGTTTCGCCACTAATGGCACACTCCTCGCGACTTTCCAGTACCATAGATATCCGGCTGCCTTGCTCCAGTCGATCAGGATGACGTTATAATCGCCAATGCTAAGATAAGCTGAGGATAACAAAGAGGAAATATTAATAACCTAGAAATTAGTTGCCAAAACACGGAGCGCTAGAACGACGCGTGGAATCTGGGAGTTCAGAAATTCAAATAATGTTTGAGAATTTAAGGAATCCAGAAGGATCGGATAATAGAAAGTAACGAGGGGAGAGAGAGAAACAAGGATTTTGTATTGAGAGATCGGGAAACCAGGGAGAAAATTAAATTTAAAGAATTTACAGTGATTAATAATTTAGAAAATTTTAAAGCTGAAGTAAAGGGGCAGGAAATCATATTAATTTGTAACTAAAACATATGGGTTTTCATTGCTGTGGGAGTAATTTAAAAAATAATTTTCTGAAAAAAAAAAATATTCAACGCGTGTTTATATCTAACAAAATTCAGAAGCAATAAATTTATTAATATTTTATTTTTGTTTTCTTAACAATTTTGTATACCATAGATTAGAAATGTATGATTGAACTCGAAAAATTTCTCGATGAAAATAAAGCTGATAATAAACGATTTTAGTTTTTTTCAAACTAAAGTTTTTTTGCCATTACTTTGTTATTTTCTCCTAGGACCCATATGTTTCTTCAGGGTAACACCCTGAGAAGTACATTCCTCTTACGGATTGATCTTGGAAATAGCAAGAATTCAGGTATTCAAGCTATTAAGATTGATAGCGTCCTACCGTCCCGAATCAGGGCGCAAGCAGATTCATCTTCTGTGTCCCCTCGCCATCCATGAGTGATAATACGAGTAGGATGAGTAGGATTCCAAGAAGTCTTCTCCACACTGTCATTATCATTAATGATCAGTGGCTCTCCGACTTTCCGATTATTCCTATGGAGAAAGATCGATTTCGCGTTAGAAGCTTGTAGAATCTTTGTTGCATTTTTTCGTCAGCTTTTCGGACATATTTACCGAGTGTATAACAGAAATTGAGTTTGGGAGGTGGCATAGCTGATCTCCTCATATTCTGCTTGTGTAAGTACCGCAGGTTCGTTGATGTCGATTATGTGCAACACCCCATGCTCATCGGCGAAGAGCGTGTAGTTCGAATGTGATGCGAGGGACGTCAATAAAGTGGGATACACTGCGGGCAAAAGTACACGAGTCTAAAATGATGTTTTAAGATGGAATTAAATGTGTTAGAGATTTACGCAAAATCCAAAAATATTTTGTTCTTTCTTAGAACTAGGTGTAGGATAACTTTCTGTTATTAATGGCAACTGCACTGAAAAAATTTTACTAAATGTTAATAGATATTTATTTGAATAGTATTAAGATCTGGTTTCACCAATGTGAAAAGCTTAATCTCCATTGTACTTACGACTTATCTTTTTCTAATTCTTGAAATTAAAAACAGATTTGAACACAGAAATTAAAGTTAATCTCACATTGGTGGAACTGAGCTTAAATACATTTACGAAATGTAAACGCGACGATGAAATTTGAGAATAATTATTTTTCACACACCAATTGCAATCGCCGGCAAAGTCATCTTCACGGTTGATAAGATCTGTTAAATTTTCCGTTGTCACTGACGATTCTTTTATAGCTTGCTGATGGATATATTTACACTATGCGTTCGATAAGATGATATCGATCAATATGTATCAATTAGTACATGTGTCTGTTTCGAAAAGAGATTATTAATTAATCCGACTCTTTTGTGATTATAATTGGATATCAATGTATATTTATTGAAATGACAGCTTACGATTTATGAGTAATCGTGATTGAAAGATTGAAAGATAATCTGAAATGTAATTTTAAATTATTTGAAGTGTTTTAATGCTGTAAATCTTGAAAGGGTGTAAGGGAAGGTCGCCGATATCGACATATCGCTTTGTTTTTAGACAATCCTTAGGCAAAAAGGTAAAAATAAAACTTTAAATACATAAATACAAATTAAAAAGTGTCTTCTATCAGATAATATTTGCAATTTTGCGATAATTAATTTTTTCGTAAGATAAGCAAAAATGAGCGTCCGACAAAATAGGCTTCAAAATTGACACAGTGAATGCCACATATTCTTATTATTTTTCTTTTACAGAAATTATCTGTATAAAATACAAGTGAATGTATCTAAGATTTTCCAGAATCTTTTCACTTCGATATAAAACATTTTTGTTGAATTATATGCGTATTTACTTCACGTTGTTCTGTGCAAGGTGCAAATATGTAACGCCATAGTTTTTCAACGGCTTTTCCATATATGTACCATTGTCTTCAGTTCCGACAGAGTTACTTCATACTATAAAGCAGCATTATAAAGATTAAGTTAGCTCATGATTTGTTTTACAGACAGGTGTGCCGGTTTTTACGCTGCACCTCGAGTTTATATTTAAAACTATATTACGAAACAATTAAGAAAGATAAATAATATAAATGAAACTGATTTAGGAAACTACAGGTATTCAAAACGACGTAGCATTATTAATAATATAGTCACTATTATTTAAATTTTGCAAAAGGAAATCGTAAGGATTTTATTTTTGCATTCGTAGAATACGTTTTTAGCCGATTTCGCATAGAAATCGCATGCATTTACACTTTTTTAATTAACTAAACAAATTATGTTTTTGTTAGTAACAAAGTGTTAATAAAGTGCAATAGTTAACTTCTGCGAAATAAGTGTTGCTTTAGGAGATCTATGTAGATGACTTTCTCTATTAGTATTAAATATTGTTTAAAGATTTTATTAATTAATTTCTTATAATTGTTTGAATTACATGTTTTTAGAAGAACTAGTACGCGTTTCTTCAGTGCATTAAA